ACAAACACAATGACACAGAGAATTATTTACGTGGGAAAATCCTCTCAATATGAGAAGTAAAAACCCACGGGCTCAAGCCAGTCAATCAAGCTACACTATAATCAAATGAGGTTACAAGAGAGTCTCAAAATACTGCACAGATTCGTGCAAACAACCAGCTAATACAACCAAGCAATAAAGCCTAACCAAAGAGAGAAAATCTCACAAAATAGAGCTGTTGTTCATACACGATTTCTCTCAGACAAACCCTCCAATCGACGATCCCAGCGGTCAGAACGAATAACTATACGTCTGGGAACTTCTATCAAAGTTTCAGCTCAATCCAACGGTTGAATAAGGAGAAATAACGATTTCTATGCGGCTGGTCTGTGCAGAGTCACCAAAAATAGGGCTTCTGTGCGAAGACAATATCTCCAACTTCAGATCTCCAATCGACAATCCGAACGGTCAGAACACAGATCACCGTGTTATGAATCTGCTATAAAATTTTCAGCCCGATCTAACGGTGAACTAATTGGATATCAGAGAAATAGAGTAGCTGGTCTGGAGCTTCTTTCTTCCCTCACTTCCCTTCTCTCTTTTGATGTCTCTCTCCAAAATACACAATGCACCGGATGCAAGAAAAAACCTTTCAATTTTTGACTTCTCTCACCCACTCTTCTGACTTCTCACTCCCTTCAATTATGTGAAAAATTGTGCTTAAAATCTGAACTTTTGGACACATAGTTGGGAGTCCAACACAACAACGCCCCCTTTTGATAACGTAGAAGCGCCTAAGTTAAAGTTGGATTTATCAACAGTAGGCTTGTTGTGCAAAACTGAGAGGCCCAAAGTGTTTTTTTTCGTCAAACAAACGCGTCAATGAAACAGCCTTAAGTAGTGCGACAAATTGGATCCTTCAACCCACTAATAAAACAATCCAACAAGGCTTCTGGTGTGATCCCTTCACTCTGATTAGCCAATAACACAAATTCATTATAATAATCAGAGACGGAGGATGTTTGGGCCAATTTAAATAGTTTCGTACGAGCACTATCGAATGGTGAAGGACCAAACTGAGCCTCAATTGTCGATACTAGATCACACCACGTCGAAAGTTAGTTAGCATGCTGTAACATCTGGAACCATGGTACAACTAGCCCTTGAAAATGTACCACTGCGATTGTTAAACGATCCGCGTCTGTGTTATAATAAGCAAAATACTGTTCATCCTTAAAGAGTCAATCGAGTTGATCGGTTCCGTCAAATTTTGGAAAATCAAGCTTGGCATGTTGCATTTGTAAAGGAGGAACAAATGGAATAACTGGTAGTCGAAGAAGAAGAGTTCACCGCACCAATAGACAGATTCCCAAAAAAAGATGAAATGTTGAGTGTAAGTTGTGTTGTAATCGTACGTAGAGATATGAAAATACAGAATAAGCAAACTGCACTATGTTTATTAAAGAATAAGTTTGGCTATTTTATAGCCGTACATAAGAGAAATGAAAAGTGACAAATAAACTACTTATGCGCATAAAACGCACTACTTCCTAAAACTGAGGTGGACTTGAAACTAATGCAACAGAAATATGAAAACGTGGAACCACTAACAAATCCTCCCTTAAACTGAATGTTAGCAATCAGTTTATATCAGATTCAGCACATAGTCCTAGTGACCTTCTTAGTGTTAAAAAGGTATCCAATTTGAGAGGTTTGGTCATAATATCAGCCACTTGTTCTTGTGTCCCACAATGTATCATCTTAATAGTTCCAGTTTTTACAAGGTTTCGAAGGAAATGAAATCGGACGTCAATATGTTTACAACGCCCATGCATTACTGGATTCCTTGATAGCTTAATAGCAGAACTACTATCACAATGAATTACAGTAGTTTGGCTTTGCACTCTACACAATTTTTCCAACACCCTTTTCAACCAAACAGCTTGACAAGCACATGATGTTGCACCTATAAATTCTGCCTCAGTAGTTGATAGACTCACAATTGGTTGTTTCTTTGATGACCACGAAATGGCAGCTGAACATAATAAGAACACATAACCCGAAGTGCTTTTCCTATCATCCAAATCCCCTGCATAATCACTGTCCGTATAAGCAAGAAGTTCACTGTTTCCTCCCTTTTTGTAGAAAATGCCAAATTCAGTTGTTCCTCTTAAATATCTCAGGACTCTTTTAGCTGCCAGTAAATGTAGCTCAGTAGGATTCTCCATGAACCTGCTAATTAAGCTTATCACAAACATCATATCAGGCCGAGTGGAGGTTAGATACATAAGACTTCCCACAATTTGTTTGTAGTAAGTCTTATCCACCTTAACACCAATATTGTCCTTTGAGAGTTTAGCACCAGGAACAATTGGGTTTTGAACTGGATTGCTTTTATCCATTCCAAACCGTTGTAGTATTGCTAATGCATATTTCTTTTGACATAAGAAAATGCCATTTGTTCGTTGCATAACTTCAAGACCCAAAAAATATCTCATTTTACCAAGATCTGTCATGGCAAATTCATGTTCCATGGAGCTTTTGAAATTTGCAAACATCAACTCATCATTACCAGTAAAGATAAGGTCATCAACATATAGACTAACAACTAATATTGTACCTTCTTTTGCTTTCTTCACAAAGAGAGTATACTCATAGTCACACTTCTCAAATCCTTTATTCAAAAAATATGCTTCTATGCGGCTATACCAAGCACGAGGTGCTTGCTTAAGTCCGTAAAGAGCTTTCTTCAGCTTGTACACTTTATTCTCAACCCCTTTTTGTTCATAACCACAAGGTTGGTCTACATACACGGTTTCATCTAGTTCTCCATGTAAGAATGCAGACTTCACATCTAGCTGATAGAGTGTCCATCCCTTTTGAGCTGCAATTGCTACTACTAAGCGAATGGTCTCCATGCGGGCTACTGGTGCAAATACTTCAGTGTAGTCTACCCCATACTCTTGTGCATATCCCTTTACTACAAGTCTGGCTTTATATTTATCCACCTCACCATTCTCTTTGAATTTGGTTTTATAAATCCACTTCACACCAACCTTCTTGGCACCGTCAGGTAAGTCCACTAATTCCCATGTGTCATTTCTGTTTATTGCTTCCATCTTTTCATCCATGGCTTTCCTCCATTTTGAAATCTGTACGGCAGCATCAAAGTGTGTGGGATCATTGTCACCGGTTGTAGATAGAGCCATATTCGCTTCTGGACTGTCTTCAAAGAATTCTGCACCAGTTTCGTAGTCTGCCATCCAGAAAGGTGGTCTCCGAGATCGTTGCAACGTGGGAGTATCTTCTGCTGTCATAGAATCAGAGGAATTATTATATTCATTAACCAATTCATGATGTACCTGTTGTGCTGCATCTGGCGTTGTGTCTTCAACCTCATCCTTGTGTTCTTCATTTTTGACAACATCTTCTTTATCTCCCTATTCTAAATCACATGAGATGGCTGCAACATATTGTGTATCCCAATCCCAACTTTTATCTTCATCAAAGACAACGTCTCGGCTGATAATGATTTTCTTTGAAATCGGATTATACAATTTGTAAGCCTTTGAGACTTCACTGACTCCCAACAAAACACAACTTTGACTTTTATCATCTAACTTGGTACGCGTAGCATCTGGTACATGAACATGTGAAAGGCAGCCAAAGATGCGAAAATACTTGACTGAAGGTTTGACTCCACTCCAAGCTTCTTCGGGCGTTTGATTCTTCACTGCTAATGTGGGACTTCGATTTAAGATGTGTACAGACCAAGCGGCAGCTTCAGCCCAAAAAGATTTGGGCATCTTCTTCTCTGAGAGCATGCTTCGAACTATGTTCATAATGGTCCGGTTCTTACGTTCTGCGATCCCATTTTGTTGTGGAGTGTATGCAGTTGTCAGTTGTCTACGAATACCATTGTCAGAACAGAATTTGGTGAAGTCTTGAGAGGTGAATTCTCCCCCACGATCAGTGCGCAGTCCTTTGATGGAGGAGTCAGCTTCTTTTTCAACATGAACTTTAAAGTTCTTGAAGACAAAAAAAGGCTTCTGACTTTTCAATCAAGAAGTAGATCCAAGTTTTCCTGCTAAAGTCGTCAATGAAGGTGAGAAAATACCTTCTTTTGCTATTAGAGATAGGAGTAATTGGTCCACAAATATCTACATGAATTAATTGCAGAATCTGTGTAGCCCGCCAAGTACTTTTTCCTGGAAATGAGTCACGTGACTGCTTCCCAATTAAACAGTTCTTGCACGGTTTGGTGGATGCCTTGATTGGTGGTAACCCATGTACCATGTTATGCTGATAAAGTGTGTTTAGACCCTAAAAATTTAAATGACCATATCAACAATGCCAAAGATGCATGTTGTCCTCTACAGCTGTGTGGAAGCAAGTGGTTTTGGTAGGGGAAGGTATAGCATGCAGTAGGAACATTCGATTGGAAGACATGTGGGTTTCCATGAGTAAACCATTTTCTGGATGATACACTTTGCACTTGTCGTGTTGGAAGAGAATGCTAAGGCCCTTTTCTTATAATTGCCCAAGACTGAGTAAGTTGTTTCTTAAGTCTGGCACGAAGAAGACACCAGTAACCGTATAGGTGTTGCCATGCATTTGGAGTCGAACACTGCCTTTGCCCGTGACAGCCATACTAGAGTTATTGCCTAGTTTGACTGTGTCTTTGTAATGTTCATCAAAATCAGAGAAGTATTCCTTTCTCCCACACATGTGATTACTACACCCAGAATCAAGGAACCACATGGTATTTTTGTTTGTCTTGGTTGTCTCTGTGTGAGCCATCAGCAACATTTCTTCATCATTCTCGACATAGTTGGGTTGGACACTCCCAACTAAAATGTCCAAGTTGATGGCATGTGTAGCATTCCACCGAGGATTTGTCAAAACTTTGTCGACCTCGCCCACGGCCTCGTCCTCTTCCGCGTCTGCCAAAACTTCCTCCACGCCCTCCTTGTCCGCGGCCTTGGGCTGCATGGTGACCTGTATGGGAAACTTGTAGGGCCTGTTCTTCTTCCACATGAGATGACATCCGAAGCTCATGTAAAAAGAGACTGCTTTGTAGTTCGTCAACAGTCATCGTCTCGGTATTCTTAGATTCCTCAATGGAACACACAACATAATCGAATTTGGGAGTCATGGATCTTAGAATTTTCTCAACAACTGCAACATCACCTTTGTTTTCACCATTAGCCTTCATCTTGTTTGCAATGGTGAGTGTTCGGGCAAAGTAATCATTAACAGATTCTCCCTGCTTCATGTGGAGAATTTCAAATTCTCTTCAGAGAGCTTGTAATTATGCTCTCTTGACCCTTGATGTTCCATGGTACTTCTGCTTCAATGAGTCCCATATATCCTTTGCAGTATCCTTATTGAGGATTGTTTCCAGAACTGAACGATCCAGCGCCTGAAATAGGTAATTATTTGCCTTCAAATCCTTTAATTTTTTATCTTCAACATGTTTCCTCTGTACTTCGGTAAGAGGTGTGTCTGCTGTAGATACTGGGATGCCATCTTGCACCAGCCCCTAGTACTCCTTAGATCTCAGGAAGTTCTCCATTAGCATAGCCCAGTGGTCATAATGCCCATCAAATTTTGGTATTGCGGGCTGCACAAATGAGTTTTCTGATGCCATTGCGTGTGATAGTTAGAAGACTGCAACTCCTACTGTGGTGATCAGGCCCCGGAATGGAGCTCTGATACCATAATGTTGTAACCGTATGTAGAGATATGAAAATGCAGAATAAGCAAACTGCACTATGTTTATTGAAGAATAAGTTTGGCTATTTTATAGTTGTACATAAGAGAAATGAAAACTACCAAATAAACTACTTATGCACATAAAACGCACTACTTCCTAAAACTGAGGTGGACTTGAAACTAATGCAATAGAAATATGAAAACGTGGAACCACTAACAAGTTGATCCAGCGATGCTTGAATTCTGCTCAATTGTAACTCAACACTATCCATACAAAAACTCAAATGCAGATGAGATTTATCTTGATTCGCAATCTTATCAAAAGCTTTTTTCATATTAGATTGTAACTCCTTAAGCCGTGTATTTTCTACCATTAGAGAAGAATGAAAGCACTAAATGTGATGGCTGTTAGTAATGAATTATCCAATTTGACAGAGTTGAAGCACAACAAGAAATAGAAGATTGTGAAACACTGATTTTATTATTGAGTTGCAAAACAACAACAGGAATTTGTATTACAGAGGAAGGGAACAGAGTAGAAGTTACAAAGAAAAAAGAGAAACACCACAGAGAGATAGTCAGAGAAAAGAGGTTACACATTACATCCCCTCCCCCACCTCCATTCTCCCTGTACACTAATATACTAATTATTCCCTAAACCGTAAAGGCATATTCTTGAAACGTTTACTGTGCCTAACCAACTGTTGGCTATCCTCAATTGCTGTAGTTTTGGCAACTGTCAAACCAATATCTTTAGTTGTTACACTATGCATTGTAAACTACAAATTAGAACAAGCCATCACCTATAGACCTTAATGAAATTATTGTAGCACTACCACTAATAGCCTCATTCAAACATCTACCACAACTTTAAGGTAACATTCACTAATTCTAATGGAGAGTTTGAAAACAATATAATGGTAGCAATATGGGTGATGAAGATCAAGGAGTGAGAGTGAGGCATAGTGAGAAAGGAGAGAGTGAATTGGATAAGGTGAGAGCAATGAAGACGCTCCAAGAAAATAAAGAAGAGTATTTCTACATTTGCATAATAATTAATGTAATATGCAACACAAATTTTGTAAGTTCTTTTCAGACTAAAGAAAAAGGCTTAAATTTGAGTTTATATTATTCAAATAAAAATAAATCAATAATTCACTCTCCGCGAGATTTTTATAAAAATTTAAATCACTCTTTTAAAGATGACAGAAAAATACTACTTGATACTAATATAAAATTATTTTTATAATGATAGAAAGAAAATTAAAAATAAATTTTTATATAAAAATTAATATATAAGTTCTTTACTTATAAAGATTAAATTAAAAAAAATTCTTACATACAAATTAAAAGATAATTTAAATTTACATAACTAGGTAATCATTTGCTAAGAGAGAAAATCATATTGTTATAATATACTGATAATATATATATAGATAAATTGATAAATAAATTTTTTATGTAACTAAATTACACAAAAGAAACTTGTACATAAATTAAAAAATCATTTATTTTTAATTTTATCTATACAACATGCAAAAATTATTTTAAAAAATAAAATTAATAGTACCTACCTCGTGCACAGATAGAGTTCCACAACTTGTATTATGCCGGGATAAAAAATAAATTTAGCTGGAATTAAGCGGTGAGATAGTGTGAGGTGAGCTTGGTGTCTTGGAAAGGGACAAGCCTCTAATCCTAACCTTTGCAACAAAATTAAGATCTTTGAGCCAATTCCATGGACCCTCGTGGGCCCCAAACCACCTGCCCACGCTACGCTGATTCAAACCAGTCTTGTAAGAACAGAGCCATTCAGTATATGTATAAATAAGTTTTGCATCCTGCGAAATTAGCCATTAAAATATATTATTTGATAAAATTTTATATTATAATTATATATTTAATGACTGAGATTTAATGTAGTACTTATGTCATTACAACCATTCACAGGTGTATTATAATTTTATAGTCAGATTAAATAATTATTTTTTTTATAAAAATCGTTCCAATCCAATATCCAAACACTTTTTTTTCTCTCTCAAAATAATGAAAATGTTGTTTTTGAGATTTCCTTTTTATTGTTTTCTTTCTATATTTTTATAGCATATAAATAGATTATTATTGTCGCTTTTATTTAAATATTTTTTATCATAAATATATTAATATAAAAAGATTTTAAAAAATTATTAAAATATAAATATAAATAAGCGTTAGAAAATTAGTCTCCCACATTCAGCTTACATGAGTTGAGCAGCAAAATCATATATTTAAGATTTGGTTCAGAACAAATTGATTTGTCATCTTATTTGCAATAAATTCTGATACTTACGCAAACCTTCTCACAACTGTCAGAAAAATCTAATCATTACTGTTTATCTTGTACTTTCTATATTTGCTCTGCCTTATTTAATTGTTATTTTAACACTTTTTATTTATATAAAAAATAATAATAATTATCTTATATCAATAATTTTATTTATTAAGTACAATTTTTATCAACTAAACTTTATAATAAAAGATAAAAATAATTAGAGTAAAAGTTATTAGTTAATATTATACTCTAACACTTTTAATAAAATTTATTTATTTTATTATAATAATTAATAAGTATATATCACTTCTTATTTTCAGTTTAATTATTTTATAAAAATACTCTTAGTGAAAAAATAATTAGATGAAAAGTAAAATAAAGAATTTCAAGAATATTAAAGTATTTTTTGAAAAATACTCAAATTATTAATAAATTTACAATTTTAATAAAATTAATTATATATTTAAATTCTTATAAAGTAAATAGCATATATTAAGTGACATAATGATATTAAAAATGTTATGGTAATTCTATGCTTTAACCTCTCTTTTTATTCGTTGTATCAGTACACAGAACCAAAGCAGTTTTCATTATATCAATCATAACTAAACTCATTAGTGACTACTAATATTGACACAACCAAATGACACAGACTCCTCACGAAATGTGTAGCATGAAAATCACATGAAGGTGACCTGTACATGTCAATTTTCAACTGGTCCTACCTTACCTTAGTAAGATCATTCAACAACCTTATTATACAAAGTGTAATAATTAAATATTAAACTTTATATCTGATCAGAAAAATATCCAAATACAAAAGTATGCTTGCATAATACTAAATATGGAACATAAAATACATAAATGACAAACTTTCACTAAACTAAAGATTCCTCAAACTGTAAAATGCCCATGCGAGTAGTGTGTTTATGAAAGACCTTGGGTGGAAGACCCTTGGTAAGAGGGTCCACTATCATGGAGTTTCTCCATAAGTGTTCTATGAAAATCTGTCCATTTTGTACCTTTTCCTTAACAACTAAGAACTTGATGTCAATGTGTTTTGACTTGGTCGAGCTCTTATTATTATTGGAATATAAGACAAGTAATTTGTTGTCACAATATAACTTAAGCAGTCTTTCAATTCCTTCCACAATTTGCAGCCCAGTGACAAAGTTCCTCAGCCAAATCCCATGATTAAATGCCTCATAGCATGCTATAAATTTTGCTGCCATGGTAGATGAAGCAGTAAGAGTTTGCTTGGCACTGCGCCAAGAAACTGCACCACTAGCCAACAGATAGATATAGCTTGAAGTGAATCTCAAACTATCTTTGCATCCACCAAAATTAGAGTTAGAATACCTAGTGATCTCTAACTGGTCTGACTTCTTATATGTGAGCATATAATCCTTTGTTCTCTTTAAATACCTCAATCCTTTTGGCTGCTTTCCAATGATCCATTCCTGGATTGCTTAAATATCTGCCTAACATCCCAACTATGTATGCTATATCCAGACGTGTACATACTTGGGTGTACATTAGACTCCCTACAACTGATGCATAGGGAATCTTCTACATTTCTTGAATTTCTAAGTTTCCTTTTGGGCACTAATTGAGGCTAAATTTGTCTCCCTTGGCAACTAGAATATCTCCCGATTTACATTCCTGCATGTCAAACCTTTTAAGTACTTTTTTGATATAACTCCTTTGTGACAATCCTAGAATACCCTAAGATCGATCTCGGTGTATCTGAATTCCTAATACAAAGAAGGCATCACCAAGATCTTTCATTTCGAAGTTTCTTGACAGAAATCTCTTGGTTTTGTGCAACATGCCTATATCATTAGTGGCAAGCAATATGTCATCAACATATAGGACCAAAAAAATGTACTTGCTCCCACTGAATTTGTGATACACACAATCGTTAACAAGGTTCATCTTGAAACTAAATGAGAGAATTACTTGATGGAATTTGTAGTACCATTGACGAGACACCTGTTTTAAAGTTTTCTAGTTGCACTAAATAGATTGTCTCAACAATGTTGCCATTGAGAAATTCTGTCTTGACATCCATTTGATGGAGCTCCAAATCATAATGTGCAACAAGAGTCATGATCGTCCTAAAAGAGTCTTTTGATGAAACCGGAGAGAAAGTCTCTTTAAAGTCAATCCCTTCCTTTTGGGTATATGATAAATGTCTTCTATACTTTATCCTAAAATGTAATTCATGAATGATAATTGCAACTTTTGAGTACATTTTATTCATATTTCAGGAAAAATGATCAAGAAGTGGGAGGTTAAATAATATTGGGAATTAAAGTAAGAAATGAACCAGAGATATACACGGGCAAGTACATGGCCATGTACATGAGCATGTATCTCACTAGTTGCATCAATCAAGCACATAATCAAAACAGAGATATACACGGGCAAGTACACGCCCGTGTATCTAACTGGTCGCGTCAATTGAAGTTCATCATCAAAACCAAAGATATACACGGTCAAAGTACATGGCCATGTACATAGGCGTGTACTTCTTAGAAAAGTTGTGAAGGGCAAATCTTAAAGGCTAGAGATGTACACGGTCAAAGTACATGACTGTTGACATGGGCATGTACTTTTCAGGAAAGCTGTGAAGGGAAAATGTTAGATACCAGAGATGTACATGGCCAAAGTACATGGTCGTGTACATGGACATG